GCTATAAATGGTGGGCAAATTGTAAGTGTGGCTATAATACTAAATTGAAAAGGTAACGGTAAGAAGTTGAGAAGCTGAGGTGACAGTCCGAAAGTCAGGCGTGTGACACCTTGGGTTGTCAGCTGTGACAGTAAGAGCACTTGCAAGGGGAAGCCCTCTATGCCAACGCTACCGAACGTATTCTTGTCTCCACACCATACAAGGTCAAAAAAATCCCCTAAGGGTGGGTCTATTTTGGAAGGGACAATTGTGAAGGTGATCATACTGCTACTTTCTGTGTAAATACAGCTCACTTCCCCTTTCACTTTCTCTTCATTTTCTCTCTCACTCCTTCACCTTCTTTTCCTGCACTCATCAGAGGTGGTTCTAGGGGGGGGGGGCAACAGGGGCCAGTGCCCCCGTAACACTGACTAGGAACCCCCCTGTGGCCCCCCTCCAAAAAAAAGGTTACAATATTATGATTTATTGGAACTAAATCAAATCAGAGAAGTCGATGGAGATTAAACTGTTCATTACCTTATATAAAAGCAAATACTGTTTATGTTTTTTTATTAAATTGTCACTTAAAGTTAATAAAACAAATACTCTAAATGAAAAAAAACTACTGAAACAAAGGACTGTAACTTACATTTACTAAAACAAATACCTTTACAAAAACAAATACCAATTACTGTATTTTATGTTTATTTTACATTGTCTTTGTCTTTTAAACCCGCTTGTATTGTGCCCCTCTCATGAAATAATTGCCCCAGCCTGGCCCCCCCAGTACAATTGGTCTAGAACCGCCACTGGCACTCATCACTCACACTCCTTCCTCCCTTTGCTCTGTCCATCATCATGTCACGCACACTTCTCCCACCCTTCTCTTTTTACTGCTGCCTTTCCCCCAAGTGGGGTGCATGGCCTATCGCCATAGTAACAGACAGCCATGACAGGTGGAGATAGCAGGTAGTGCGGCGATGCGTGACTCCCCCTGGGACTGCAGGATGCCAACACTATAGAATGAGAATGAGCAGAACATGCTCTCTTATACAAAGTCGGCCTGCATGCAGGGTGTACACTCGATTCATTAAAGCTTATCCTAAGAGGGGTCCATGCCTTATCTGTATTCTACAAAGGCAGCCGCGCCACACTGCCATTGTTCCACTGTGCGGCTGGACAGAGGGCTAAGAGGAGTTCAATGGATTTACGCATGTTGTGTGTTTCTATTTCAACACTCTCTATGGCCAGATCTAAACCAGGCCAAGCCAAGCCAATCTGTTTCGTGTCATAGAGGTACTGGTGTCTACACTAACAAGATCCTACAAATCCTCTGCCATGGGCTGCAGAAAAACGTGTGTGTGTGTGTGTGTGTGTGTGTGTGTGTGTGTGTGTGTGTGTGTGTGTGTGTGTGGTGTGTGTGTGTGTGTGTGTGTGTGTGTGTGTGTGTGTGTGTGTGTGTGTGGTGTGTGGTGTGTGTGTGTGTATGTGTGTGGTGTGTGTGTGTGTGTGTGTGTGTGTGTGTGTGTGTGTGTGTGTGTGTGTGTGTGTGTGTGTGTGTGTGTGTAATTGAATTGATTCAGTCCTGGAGATGGGAAATGATCGCACACTATTCTCATACAGAGCACACCCCTTTAGCAACTTATTTGCATGCACTGCAGACACAAACACATGTCTTTATCACTCCATTGAAACGAGATATATCTTTACGACATCTGTCTCTGAACTTACACACTATGTTAAACACGGCATCCAATTGCCTGCAGCAGTCTGTGAGGGATTTCTCCCACACTTCACCACTGCAGTAGTTGAACACGTGGAGGAGTTAGACAAAAGCTTTCTGAGTAGGACGCAAAAGCCAGACATTTCTATAGTACGGAAAGCGGCTTTAGAGCATCACTGGGACGTCTTTAGAGGATTTAAGGCTTGCAGTAGGTAGTAAAGGGGAGGAGCAAACAAGCAACCTCCCGTTTAATTAGATGACAGCTCACCTCCTGCATTAGTGTCTGTTTGGGCTTTTATTCCACCAGGAGAGAGTGATGAGAGAAAGCCACAGGAGAGAAAGAAAGAAACAAAGACACACAGTAGACAGCAGCTGCGATACGTTACCCCTCTGAGACTTACCATGAGCAAGCACACGGCTGATTCAGGCATGTGTTGGACAGCCATGATGGGATGCTCCTATGGATTCTTGTGGAAAGGAAATCTTCCTTGGAGGACTCTCTCCGTTGTCCTCTTCCTCTTCCCTCAGGAATCTGCTCACCTTTGTCCAGATGAAGTCCTGTGACTGGCCCTCCCTCTCTGTGTCCTCACCCACCTCCCTCTGTCTGTCAGTCAGTGCTGCAGACAGCCTCTGCTCTCCAATTGTAATGAAGTCCCTGGAGAGCCTGTGACTCCCCAGTCTCTCTGCGACTCTTCAGACTGACGAAAAAGCAAATCTCCTTCCAGTTCTTTGATCTGAGAACAGAGCAGACCCCCCCACTCCTCTTCTCACTTTTAAAACACTCCCCCCCAGACCCCACACCCAACTCCACCAAACCCCTTTGACTCTGGCACCTCTTTTTAAATGCTCCCCTCCCTCTGTTGCTGGCTCCTGTCTTCCGTTTTGCAGTCTACTCTCCTCACAACACAAAGCACATCCAGGCGTGCATGTGGGTTTTTGGGTATATTCAGTTTAGCCTGGGGCTGTCCTGCCACTGCTCCACAGGATGTAACCTGCATCAGTGATGCCCCTCAGTCTAAAGCCCTCCTCCACTGTGGTGGGAAAGACAGACGCTCACCTCCCCTCTCCACTCAGGGATCCAGCGCAGAGAGCTCTCCTTCAGGCTGATCCCCTGCCTCATGTATCATCAGCATGCGACAAGGGCAGAGAGGAAAGCAAATAAAGGAGAGTATAATAGACAGTTTTAGAAGGACAGAGGATGAGGTAAAAGGCAGCCGGGGAGGAGAGAGATGTAGTGGAGAGAGCAGCCACTAGCGAGAGAGGTCCACGCTGTGCTGAGCGTAAATAAGGGTGGGTGGAGAAGAGGGAGGGGAGAGAGTGATGGAGATGCAGAGAGCGAGAGCAGACCGCGCCTATCGATGCCGGCTGAAACAGCAAGGCAGCATGGGATGTAAGCAAATACACCAAGCTCTCTTAATGAACAGGGTGTGCATGTGTGATTGTACAGGTATGATATAGTCCTGGTAGCTGTCAGGTTCACAGACAACTGTACTCCAGACTGAGATTTATATTTTTTAAGCACTGTTTGGCCTTAATTATTCAGACTGAAAACAGTCTGAGCAGCGTGGCTTTTGTGTTGTGTGCATGAGAGAGAGCGTGCATGATGGAGAGATACAGAGAAGTAATGAGAGAGGGCTGTAGCTGAAAAGAAGGGGCGAGGCTCAGAGCATTGGCATCAGCTCAGCTTTACATTTTGAGAAAATGTAATTATGATGGGGGAGTTCACAGTCTTACTTGCAGGTTAATAACTAGTTGAAACTAATAACAATAAATGTATTAAATGTTGCTTGTTACTACTGTACTCAAAGGATTTTTTTTAAATAACAGTGCTCTAACAAAAGCAAAGGGCATGTTCTATTCCTAGTTTAGGAAAAAAGAGTGAGAAAACATATATGTGTCATTCATTGGCCTGATAAGAGAGTTTATTGTTCATCTATATTGAGGCTCACATACAGACATGTAAACAAAGCAGTCTCAGCAAAGCCTCCCTCCTAATGATTTCACAGAAAGGTGAACATGTTATAGATGAGAGTATGCCAGATTTTCAAAGTATATCTTACAGCACCACTCTATTCAGATAGTTCAGTCAGACAACTCATGTGTTTCTTTAACATGTTTATTAGAAGCAGCATATAGTTGAGTTTGGCGTCTAGGCTCGGGTCTCATCACTCTACAGATATACATAGCACAATGAGTGATGATTAAATAACTAACCCCCCGAGCCTACAGGTGGAAGCTGGGGTGGAAGCTGGGGTGGAAGCTGGGGTGTTGGTGGGGCAGGCACGCAGCAGCGACGTAGAGTAGCTGCAGCAAAGCAGCAGCAAGCAATGCATAGAGAGATATCTGGCAGGTTAAATAGAGCGGCGTATTAAGGAGACTCTGTTTGGTTGGTTGTAGAGTGGCAAGGGGCGTTATGTATGAATTTATATATACAGTCTATGGTATGAATGCAGCATAAGTGTGCTCGAGTTAACTGCCTGAACTAGCTCGCAGACTTCGCCCCATTACATGAAGAAAAAAAGAAAAGGTGTGCCCTTCATAACTTCCTGTCACAGTGCAAGCTTGCTACCACTCATGTGCTATGAGGAAACGTGTCACTGCTTTTTACAACCACTCTAAACTAAGAACAAAGTCAAACAATATTCAAATTTGTATTTCACCAAATACCAATCAGTAGTTAAAGGTAGGGTAGGTACGTTTGAGAGACCGGCTCGAGATACATTTTTTGTTATATTCCATGGAATGCTCTTAACATCCCGATAGCAATGAATATCTTAAGTGCTTTGATAAAAAATCCATTAAAAAATTTCATCTGTGGAAGCCGTAATACTGTAAAAAGTACGACCAATCATTTTAGCCGCCCGGCTAAAATAACTGGATGGCCTACCTGCCTGTCAGCCTTCCATCTGTGCACAAACTTATCTCGTGCCCTCATTGGTCATGTGCACGTTCGTGTGTGTTGGAGGAGGGGCTCTATAAGGAAGTGGCAGATTTTCTCCGGTTGTGTATTTTCAAATTCTAGCGATCTCGAGCCGGTTTCTCAAACTTACCTACCCTACCTTTAATAAAGGTTTAATACTGTTTGGTATTTGAGTCTTTTTAATATAGTTATTTTTTTAGAGCAACACATTCCTGCAAGTCAATTACATTACATAACAATCAAAATATGTGGTTAAAAGTATTAAAGGCTGTCTTTACTCAGTTTGTCAGTCACATATATTTTGATACACCACTCATGAAGTGTGTGTTTCACAGGAAATGTGCATATCTAGCCAACCTCTTTTTTTCAGTATAAGCTCCTCCCTTTTGTTCCAGTGTGCTCATGAAGAGGGAAATTAACAGATACTTGTTCTTGCTTGCTTTGCCACGGCTTTAGTATAAACGTACTTTTAAATCTGTGGGTTTAAAACACATCAGAGGATACATGGTAAGTGAAATGCAGCTTTAAAATAGAGGTACAAGAACAAAAATACAAGGGAAATGTTTTTGGAAAATGTTTGTCAGTGTCTTTACAAACCGAAACTATAGGCTACTTGTTTTAATGTCAGTGTGTAAAAGAAAGGGCACAATGTCAGCAGTAACTAAAGTATCTGTATGAAAAAGAAAATATCTAAGCTGTCATTAAGCCACTTTATTTAAGTTAAGCAGCTTTTCTTTTCAGAATGTATTTCCACATATTACATAACTTTGTCTAAGTTGCAATAGAACAAAACAAACAAAAACATGTGTCATGGAAAAGATGGTAATTAGTACGATATTTTGTTGTATCACATTTCAAGGGCTTCATTGTCATAAAGGAAACATACAATAACAGTCCTATTGTTTTACATTGGGATTCTGAAACTAGTTAACAATACCTTTAACACATTTATCAAGGACTTGACATTTTTTGCAATAAAGTCTGAAAGAGTATTTTGTTTTTCATCAGGTCTGTGCTTCTACTAAAACAATGAGCATTCAAGATAAAGGTGAGTATTTTGCACCAAAAATGTATTTAAAAAAGTGTGTTATCATTTCCTGTTAAACATAAAATCTCAATAGAGCATTTTATTGAATGACAGCATTTCATACAAAGTCAGTTAATTATGCCTTTTATATGTACATTATTTTATTCTTCTATATTTGAAAACAGCAAAGTTTGTTGATCGCAACTGGGCAGAGTTGATTCAAGACGTTTCAGAGGTAATGGCAATAACCGAGGCGCTTGGAGACATGGTCCACCCTGAAACCTTATCCAAGATTGGAAGACAGGACACAAGCCAGGATAAAATGAGAATGCTTCATGGGCCTCTACATTCAGGGGGCGATAAGGTCAAGGCAGCCTTCTACGACGCCCTCAAGGCTCAACATCTCCACCTAGTGGAGAGGCTTGGTAGGACTTCCTTCTGTAAATGATTAACATGGGAGTTTATCTATGACATATTATCATATTTTAAAATGTCTCCTTCTTTACAGGTGGTTCATTCTGAAGACACTGTGGCCGTGCGCATTCTCGCAGGTGCAGAATACTTTGCATGCCTCACCTACTTTCATCTTTTGTAAAAAAGTTCATATATGTTATGCTTTTATACATATTGTTGAGATTTTATAAATTCATATTCTGTAACATATCAAGTTTTACATTTAAGGATCTTTGAAAAACAAAAATTGTTCTTAATAAACATGTGTTTAAAAATACTGTGTCTTTATGGTTTCATTGAGTCGACAAACACGATGTTAATTTTATAAAGAGGAAGTTGCTTTTTTTTAGAAAGGGAGAGAGAGAGAGATAGAAAGGGAGAGAGAGAGAGAGAGAGAGAGAGAGAGAGAGAGAGAGAGAGAGAGAGAGAGAGAGAGAGAGAGAGAGAGAGAGAGAGGGGGGGGAGGGTAGAGACTGTAAGAGGCTTTTCTGTAAAAAAGTTCATATATGTTATGCTTTTATACATATTGTTGAGATTTTATAAAACTTTTATATTCTGTAACATATCAAGTTTTACATTTAAGGATCTTTGAAAAACAAAATGTTTTCTTAATAAACATGTGTTTATTAGCAGAAAAAAAAATACTGTGTCTTTATGGTTTCATTGAGTCGACAAACATGTGTTAATTTTATAAAGAGGAAGTTGCTTCGAGAGCGAGAGGGATAGAAAGAGAGAGAGGGGGAGAGAGAGACGGGGGGGGGGGGGGAATCAGTCGCCTGCAGATGATGGCGTCAAGGGGGCATCTTGGCCAATACAGTTACTCATGTTTCAGTTCTTTGCAAAGGTTTGTTGTTCACCACTCACACACTGAACACTGGTCAATACGCTGAGCTGATGAAGAGAAAAAACATGAAGACAGTTCACACGTGTAGTGAATCTTCAAACCACCTTTCGTGCATTCATTTACCTTCATTTTACTTTAATTGTGAGTGCTTTTCTTTCACTCGTTTACCTTCTTTTCTGGTGATAACATGTTATATCGGATATGATTGACAGTATTCTCAACATGTGATTTTCTATGAGTTTCCATAAACAGAAAATAATTTAACTAACTTAGGTATAAACAAATGTTTCCCTTTCTCTCACGTGGACACTTCTGTCTGCCTGTCTCTCTATCTGTCTCTCCCCTCTGTCTCAAAGGAGCTAAACTGGCGGCATAAAGGTATTCTGGGATTTGACCTTTGTCTCATTCACAGCTCTGTCTCTCTGAAAAAACAACACACCTCTACAACATGTTAATCCTCAGTGGGGAAAGTGCGTTCAAGTGTCATCTTGACCCATCCTTCTCCTCCTCAGTCCTCCTGCCTCACTCCACCCTACACACCCATCTCACCCCACCCCATCCTGCATTAATGCTCCCAATCCTCTTTGTAGGAGAGTGACGTCTGCTACTGTCAGAAACAGAGTTAAGCTCAGCAGGCACCAGGAGAACAGAGTAGAGAGAAGCTTCATAGATAATCAAGCAGCAGTGCACTCTGGGCCTCTAGAGGGACACGTCTGTGCCACCTCAGCAAGAACTGACTCTCCTCCCGAGGGGCTGCTCATGCCTCCAGCTGGGAGACACAGATTTCTAAATTCAGTGTGCTAAGACTTAATCAACAGGTTAGCTGAAAACTCTGTGCTCCTGCCTGAGGGCCTTACTGGCCTCAAACTCCGGTGACCAGAGCTGAGAAACAGGAAAACAAACTCTGGACTTTTGTTGCTGCTTCTTCTGCAGTTTTGGGATTATTGAGAACAATTATATGGCCATACTGGATGTAAAACAGATGGCAAAACTGCTTCCTCCCAAGTTCAGCTGTGCATGAAAGGTATTTATGTGAACATGCACTCAAAGCTGTTTATCAGTGCTTAAAACTGAACAAGCTGTGTGGGAGCTGCTCGGACCAATGTTAACTTGCTGGTAAAGGTGTGAACAGAGACACTTACCAAATCGACTACCGGAGGATCGTTGGGGACATGGAACCAGCGCGGCCTCGCATCTTAAACAGAGATGCCACATGGATATGGGCATGAGACATGCAACCCAGCGCTACAGTGACACATATCCAAGCTGGATATGAACCAGAGAGGTCAGTCTGTCACCACATGGCTCATACTATAAGATCTGAGATATTTTCACTTTCCAGCAGCACTGGTTGTGTGCTTTTAAAAGCCTGTTTATCAGCTTCCTGGGCAGAAAGCCAAATCCTCTTACCTGCACTGCCGTCACAGGTGTATAGAAAGAGTGTTCACAGACAAGAACAGATCCCTTTTGTTACTGTTTTGGGTCACCAGTCCAACATTTGTAATAGTCTGGAGCCTGTGTTTAAGAAATGTCCACTGCAGCGCGTAGCACGGTTTTAAGTGTGCTGTGCCAAACCCGGCCCGTTTTTTGTTGCGTTTCCACTAGGGGTATTTCCGGCTAACGGGTACTTTTTCACAGTTTTTCTGGCCCTCCAAAATCGTGGTTCTTTCCGGGCCAACAACCGGGCCGAATATGCTAAACTAGTGAGAGAATCGCTGAAAAGGGGGCTACAACTAAAATGAACATATTTTACCGTGATTTAATTGTAATACACGTTTCAAAATAATGCCGAAGTAACAACATACTGATACCGGTTAGTAAAAACCATGAATTAATGCTTTGACAAGTCTGCAGACAGACGGCAGGCGAAAAACCTTTTAAAATGCGTGTCTTCTGAATGGAGATCGGCTAAGCTAACGTTGTATATGCTCCGACCGTCCACACTCACAACAACGGCCTACAGACATAAATAAACCAGCGACTGTATTCGCCATGACACAGACAGTCTGTGGTTTGTACTTGTTTAACTTTTGTCTCGTTTCTGAACAGATATGAGGAGCTGTGAGCTCTGAGTGCTAACAGCTAACGGCTGATGTTGGTTTTGTGGTTCGCATTGAAGATGACGTCACGGCTCCGCCTACACTGCATTACTATAGTTACTGCCCCAGCTACTAAACTGTAATGGAAACACAGCATAAAGTGAGCCTGGCCTACCAAGGCCTCACTATACCGTACTAAGCCGTGCGAGGCCCTGCAGTGGAAATGCGCCATAATGAAGCCCTGCTCAAATTTCTGGCAAGAACAAAAACATAAGTTTTAAGGGGTTAGAGGCCAGTCAATGTAAGTCGTTTTCTTCTTATTGGGAAAAAGTGTTGTTATGGGTGCTACAGTGTCACAGATGACTCTATGTCAATAGTCACTTAATGTTTTTGTCGACTTGGTCCATCTTACCTTGACTTTGCGGACCTCGTTGGCCTGGAACTCAGCAGTACAGTTATGATGAATTATTCCAATCCCACCCATCAACTGAAAACAACCAATCAGGGACATGGGAGGAAATAATAAATTGATGAATGAATGAATGAACACTGAAAATGTATTTAAGGCCTTCAATATTCCTGGTAGAGTCTGTGGTGCAGGACGATGCTAAGCTGAGTGTAAATCGTTGTATGGCGCGTCTGAGGTGCAGGGTTTTTACTCACTGCCATGGCGATGGCCATGGATGACTCTGTGACTGTATCCATGGGAGATGAAATGAGAGGTGTCTTCAGTGTTATCTTTCTTGTCAATGCAGAGGTAAGATCCTAAAAATCACGTGAATTTGGAAAAAAGAAACATCAGCTTTAATCAAAGATATAAATACACATTTAAAATGACATGGCATACAACTGAGAAGCAAGGTCCTGCAGTGTTGCAGCTACAGGACAATGCTACCCATTTGTTAACCAAAAGTTAAGGTTTGTTTTTGTATGCCGTGTAAGAGCCTAAAAGCCAGCTTGGCCGATTAGAGGCCGCCTTGTTGAATCCACCTGCTGAGTGTTAGGTGACGCATGGGTGTGTCTGTTTTTAACACCTGCTATCGAGCAATAACCCATGTGACCTAGGCAAGTAGGCATGAAATTAATTTAAAGTCCCAGCAGAGCTTGCAAAGACGAAAACAAAGCATGTGAAATAAACAACCCTGTGCTCTAAGGAACATAACAACGAGTTAGGGATTCATTACAAGCATTACAGCAAACCTTGTCTGTTCTTGTGAATGATACAAACAAACATTTTTCTTCAATTGAGACCAAGGATGAGAAAATGTTTGTGTTCTCATCCTTGGTCCTTCTTAATATGAAAAACTAAGAAATTGTTCTGTGTGCATCACCTATTAAACAAATCTAACAAAACAAACACCAGGGAACAGTTTGTCACTTGAGTGATAAGCGAGAGAGGGTTGAGACACTTACCACCTCATCAGAAGTAACATCTATGAAACCAGGCAGGATCAAGAAGTCACTGAGAGGAAAGACAAAACAGACACAAGTGAAAATCATGATTTGGAACTGAAAAAGTTTCAATATCAATAATACAATGACCTCAATAAACAAGATGAATGTAGCTTTAGATGTGAACTATACAGAGCAAATTCTATTCCTACAATGCATCAGTTTTTTAGAGGTTGCTGTGAGCAGACCTAATCTGTCAACCCTCTGAACTGGTCTGCATTTATCCTCTGCACACTGATAAACCCTGCATATAGCCTCCATTAAGGAAACCACACCAACACCCATTAACACACTGATATGTGCACACACACTCACCCACTGTTATTAATGTCTGAAAGCCATCCTTGAAAGTAGTATTACACATACTAATCCTCAATATAATACCCAGGCAGATGTGTCATCACTGATATTACTAAACATTAAATGGAAGGCATTGATTGCATAATCTAATGTGTATTTCTGTATGTGCACATGCACGGCATACCATGTGAGCAAATGCATCCGTGTCAGTGTGTGATACCATGAAATGAGGTAAAATGTATCTGTTATGTTTTGTGTTTTTTTGCATTTCTTACTTGTATGTAAGTCCATCGCCGATTGCAAAGAGTTGTTGTGCTGTTAGTCCATCTTCAGGAACATAACCTGTGCCTCCACTGATCCAGTAGTCTGCCATGCTGGAGTATAAACACACACAGAGAGCCTATATAAAATAAATGCATTATTATTATTATTATTATTATTAGTTCACGGAATGCCCTTGTATACACACATTTACCGCCAAACCATATATCACATATTTCACTGTACCATAGTTACTGGTTCATATATCTATACAAATGTTAAAAAAAAGTGTAGTCTCTATGCATGTATCCCTTGTGCGTAACATGTTGTTTTATCTTTTCTCACCTCTGTTTCTTAAACACAGGCTCCAGACTATTGCAA